CAGGATAACGTAAGTAGACTTTCTGAATTACTTTGTGCAGCTTGAGTTCACAAAACAAGATAAACCAAGGCAGTTTCATTAACCATGGATTGTTATGGAAAGTCCCCAATGACTCTTATCTTTCTGTTTACTGGTGACTGCTAGTTCTATATCAATGCATTACCCCTACCTTAGAGAAAAAATGTACATGGGTAACACTAGCACTTCAGCAATCATGATTGCAGACATCACCTTTTCTTTTTAAGTGGATGTACTGTAGCTTTCAGTTGCCTGGCAAAAAGATCCATTTGGTTTCATAAATCCTGTATATAAATTAATATACTACTGGGTTGTATTACAGGAGTATTGCTTGCAAATCAAGGGAAGTGATCCTTCCAGTCTGGTGTACATAAGGCCACACCTGGAGTGCTGTGCCCAGTTTTGTGTCTCACATTTCAAGAAAATGTGGACAGACTAGGAAGAGTCCAGTGGAGAGACAAAAATTTAGGCTGAAAAAAGCCTGGGGCTGGAGGGGGGAGATTTGATAGCAATTTTCAAATGATCTGAATCATGGAATCATAGAAAATTAGAGTTAGAAGGGACCTCAGGAGGTCATCTAGTCCAATCCCCTGCTCAAAGCAAGACCATCCCCAACTAGATCATTCCAGCCAGGGCTTTGTTGAGCCAGGCCTTAAAACCCTCAAGGATGGAGATTCCACCACCTCTTTAGGTAACTCATTCCAGTGCTTCACCACCCTGCTAGTGAGAGAGTTTCCTAATATCCACCCTAAACTTCCTTTGCTGCAACTTGAGACTATTGTTCCTTGTTCTGTCATCTGCCATCACTGAGAACAGTCTAGCTCCATCCTCTTTGGAACCACCCTTCAGGTAGTTAAAAGTTGCTATCAAATCTTCTTTTCTGCACACTAAATCAGCCCAGTTCCCTTGGCCTGTCGTCAGAAGTGTGTGTCCCAGCCCTCTAACTATTTTTGTTGCCGTCTGCTGGACTCTCTCCAACTTGTCCACATCCTTTCTGTAGAGAAGGGCCCAAAACAACACAGTACTCCAGATGTGGCCTCACCAGTGCAGAATAGAGGAGAATAATCACTTTTAGTCATCTGGCAATACTCCTATTAATGCAGCCCAGTATGCTGTTAGATTTCTTCACACCCAGGGCACACTTTCCTCATATTTAACTTATTGTCCACTGTAACCCCCAGGTCCTTTTCTGCAGTGCTGCTACTTAGCCAGTTGGTCCCCAGCCTGTAGCAGTGCATGGGGTTCTTCCGTCCTAATTTCAGGACTTTGCATTGGTCCTTGTTGAACCTCATGAGGTTTCTTTTGGCCCAGTCCTCCAGCTTGTCTAGGTCACTCTGAATCCTAACCCTATGCTCCAGCATATCTACTACTAGCCCCAGTGAGGTGTCATTCGTCACATATTCCAGCTCATTAATTAATATACTGAAGAAAACTGGCCCCAGGACTAACCCCTGGAGCACTCCACTACTGACTGCCAACTAGACATCGAGCCATTGATCACTACCTGTTGAGCCTGATGATCCAGCCAGCTTTCTATCCACCTTACAGTCCATTCATCCAGCCCATACTTCCTTTGCTTGCTTGCAAGAATGCTGTGGGAGACCTATCAAAAGCTTAGCTAAAGTCAAGGTATATCATGTCCCCTGCTTTCCCTGCATCCACAGGGCCAGTCATCTGGCAATCAGCTTGGTCAGGCATGACTTGTCCTTGGTGAAGGGTAGTTAGAAAGAAGATGAAGATAAACTCTGTAGCTGAAGGGGACAGGATTGGGAGAAATGGTCTCAAATTGAAACAAAGGAAATTAAGATTGGAGATTAAGAACTTCTTCACTATGAAAGTGGTCAAGTGTTAGAACTGGATACCTAGAGAGGTTGTGGAACCACCTTTCCTGGAAATTTTAAAGAAAGATGCTTGACTAGCTTCGTTTAATCAGAAATGATCCTGCCTTGAGCAGGATGACCTCCAGACACCCCTCCCAACCCTACTTTTCTGTGGCTTTATAAGCTGGTATCTGGAACCTAGTAGTGGGAATCAGTGGTCACATCTACACGAGATGCTTACTGCACCATAGCTTGTTACTACTGCACGGTAGTATCGCCAGGCATGGACAGTGATGAAATGCTGCTGCACAGTAGTAACAAGCTGCTGTTCAGTAAGTGTCACCAGGCAACCATGCAGGGACACTACTGTGCAGTCATGCTGGTTATTGCGCAGTCATTTAGTATTTGGTTATGCAAGTACTAAGTAACTGCAGTAACAACTGCAACCAGCATCTTGTGTAGATGTGACAAGTGAATACTTATTTCCAGCATTTGCTGCACTGTTGAAGACTTAGGTGTTGTTCTCATTTACACACAGTAAAGTTAACGTTCATCCACTGACTTTTCTTCACCTTATTACTCGCACAGTAAGTGTTTGCAAACGGTAGACCACATAGTCTGTACCACTTGTTCTCAACCTTTTTAGACTCGAGGCATCCCTCAGAACATGCCAGCTTTTAGCTTCCACTCTCTTGACTTCAGAAAAATAATACAGCAATTCTTTTGTTACAAAGAACTTGGACCACACCAGGTCAGAATGACTTTGATATTGTGGAGTCCTATTTGAAATCTCTAAGTTTATCTTGTGAATTGTGGGTAGGTGTTTGCACACCTAATAGTGCTAATATTGCACCTCAAAGTGCCATGACATGCTGGTTGAGAATCACTGGTATGTACTGATGGCAGTGCCTCTGGAGCATAGAATCTCTTCCTCCCCACCTCCCTCAACTTCTACCTTTTTTAGTTCTTTTATCCTGCTCTCTCTGGAGTGGGGATTCTTTCTACATGTTTGAACAGTGTCTAACCTATCTTGTACATAGTTGCAATAGAGGCTAGTATTAGTAAGCCAAAACACCAGGCCTTCCTTGGCTTTATGGGAAAGACTTGTATTTTCTTCCTCATATCTTCAGTAGATGTTTTCTCCTTATGAAGACTTATAGAAACAAATCATGATCCTAGATGTATGGTTTCTTAAACCTGATACATTAAATCTGTCACCTGTGCTCAGAGAGGGGTGTTTGTGTACACCTAATCTGTTGCCTGTGTTCAGAAGCGCATATGTGTTTGGAGGAGGTGGGGAGGGAAGGGAAGGGGAGGGAAAATAGTGGAAACGGTGATGCCTGAGGCTGTAAGAAACATGTTTTCTCCAGTTGCCAGTTTTAAAATGGTGAGGTTTTGGGGGGTTTGGGGTTTTTTTTGTTTTTTTTTTCAAATAGATTTTCATATAGTTGTCTCTCTAGATTCTCTACCAGACTGTGACGGGAATGAAGAAAGACTTATCTGGTGTTCAGGAGGTAAAGAGGATATCATTGCTGTTCTATGCAAGATGAGGTGAACTTTTTCAAGGAACCATTAGATGGCTGTTATAGGCAGAGCCATCTGGCCAGACCTACATTTAGGGTGTGGAAAATTGATTTCCCATTGCAGAAAACTTACTTAATATGATGCATGGCATTATCACTAGTACTGTTGCATTTAATGTGACTTATTTTGTAATTGTTGTGCCTAGAGCAGGGGTGTCCAACTCCATCAGGCTTTGAGGGCAGGATGAGGGTCACTGGACTAATCTGCAGCCTGAACTGGGACCGACCTTCCTGTGCAGTGCCTGCAGCAGGCAGTACAAGGGTAGGTCTGAGACACTGCACACAGTGCATGCCCTGTGCTAATGTGTACACAGCAAGCCCCGGGGTTGGCCCATGCTGCATGCTACACACAGGGATGCACTGAATGTGCATACTACTTATAGGCATGGGGCCAGCATGGGGTGCATACTGCACGTGGCACCTCGCCAGACCATCCCTGCACGCTGACTCTGGTGCAGCCCAATCCATACCAGCTCCATAACCATCATGCCCCCTGAAACATGTCCCTCTGGCTGCATGCAGGGCATGCGATGCAAGGTCCAACCTACGTGCTTCATGCAGCACCTGGGGCTGGTGCCAGCACGTGGAGTCTGTCTAGAAAACCACGGACCGAACTGTACAGCTCCACGAGCCACATCCAGCCTACAGGCTACATGTTTGACACCCTTGACCTAGAGTAACTATGCAGAATAGAGAGAGGAAGTTAGCCATGTTAGTCTGAAGACTGGCAGAAAGCAGTACAGATGTACTCTCTAGACTAAATCAGACGTGTAAGCTTCCCTAAGCCAGCGCTCACTTTTTTCATGAGCAGGAGCATAGCATCTGGTAAAGTGAGTTCTTTCTCACAAAAGCTAACTATACCAGTGATGCATAAGTTCATAAGATACATCTCTACCTTGCCTTGTGCAGAGTAAGACTTAGTATTATCTAATGCAAGTGTTGCACTACAGTGCTTCAGAACACAGTGGATAAAAAGTATGCATAAGTAATATTTCAGGCGATGCAGATATCCCACTGCTGGAAGTGCCATCCAGGACTTTTCAGTTTGTGAAAGCCGTACACAAATACAGCCCTGGTGACCTTGACTAAAGTACAAATATAACCACATGAAGGGACTAGGTTATAAAATGATCTCCAGTAAAATCTTTAAAAAAATAAAAACAAGTCTTTCTTAGACTACAAAGGAAAAATGCTTTAAGTATGTAGGAGGGAGTTGATAACAGTGCAACTGCAATGTAACTAGACCTTTATAACATGGGAGTATTTTTTTTATCATTATTATTATATGCTGTACCTTTTGTGTTAAATTTGGATATTTTTTTCTCATTTTTCCATTATTCCAGGACCCAGAAGTGCATTACAGTAAAAGCCCTGTTACCTGGCATTTTACTAACTGGCATTTCTCTTAACCACAATTTCTGGCTGGCCGAATATTGCAGGGGTGGAGTTTGCACACAGCAGCTGCCGGCACTGCCATCCACCGCCCTGCGCTGCCACACGGTGGCTGCCACCACCCCCACCGCCACTGCCCCCCGCTCCACATGTGGCTGGTAACCCCTGTGCCTCGTGTAACCGGCATTTTTAGATTACCAGTACCCTCCCATCCCCCAGCTATGCTGGAAAACAGGGCTTTTACTGTATTTTAAGTAACTGAAGCTGAAGGTTTGTTTTCTTAGAGGTTATGCCACTTAGTGTTACATCTACTTTTTTTATCTGATACTGAATTGTAATGAGCAAGAAAATCCATGTGTGTATTCTATAGGTTCCTGCACTCCTTGAAAAAGAAGTAGAGGAGGAAGCAAACTCAGATTCAGAAGACAATGGCAGTTCAGAGGATTCCGATTCAGGCTGCAAAGAAGAGGGAGAGCTCCATCCCAAAGATCAACCCACTGAATCTGGCCTCGATAAAAAGGTTAGCTAGCCTGGAACTCTGTGTTGTCTCCTTTCTGTTCAAATGATCATATCTTTTTCTTCTGGGGGGCTGGGGTTTCTACTGCATAGTGGGAACAGCAAAACATATAATTTATTATTTTAAGTTATTTTGATTGTGGAAAAAGAGCAGGGAGTGAATTTCCATAACCAAGTTGGTTGTTCCCTTTCGCTGCTTATGTTGTTTGTACAGAGTGCTATTTAATGTACACATTCCTACCTATGCCAAAAGCTAGAATAAATAAAGTTTGGGCAGGGAACTCCAAGGGATGTTGGGAACAGTATCCAAAACATTCAGAGCACAAGGCAGTTCTTCAGTTTCTCCAGTTCCTCTTTTAAGACTTGGGCTAGAAAGAGGGTGAAGGGCCATGTTCCACTCAGTTTGTTGAGGGACATATTTTAGATCTAGTGGCCAGTGACTTATGCAGAGCTAGTGTGGAATCCAGCCCTTCCAGGAGCAAGAGTGTAGACTCCCTCTTTGCATCTGTTTGATG